CAACTGCACCTCAACGAGGAGTACTTTGTCATCCAACTTTTTGAGTTCTTTTAGTAATTTAGAACCTGGGAATAAATTCTCGAGTTTAGCATAAGTGATGTGAAGTCTTTTAAAGCTACAGCGTACAGTATCATATACATTAATTTCAAAAAATATTGTCGGTGGGAGATCTGTTATGCATTCACAAACAAACAATGTTAAGGATACAGTCATGTACATACAGTAAATAAAATTAAAAAACAATACCTTGAGAGAGATTTAAGACTGAATTAAATATTTCAGATAAAGGATTAAATGATTAAAATCTTTAATTTTGTCTAAGAACTCCCTTGAGATATKTTTWATTTCAATTCTTATAGACAGCTGTCAAAATACTAGTTTGCAAATGAGATATCAAGCCTTGTGGGTTGAATTTCAACAAAAACAGTAGTTATTACCTAATTTTAGAGCTTCAGTGTAATTCATGGTATCAAAGTACAGCCCAATTAGTCTTGACTGAAAATAGAGAAAGATTAAATGTCATGTACTGTACACGTAAGTCATTTGGTACATATAAATATCTCTCATTTAATAATTTAATTCTTTTAGTTCCATCTTTTTTTCAATGTATGAAAGATGTAGCCATYAGCTATTGATACCAATTACGTTTTTCTGAAAATACCTTCAATTTTTATGAATACCCTAAAACAGCCTTTGATCTGAATGAATGTAATTACCTCTAGAGCTTGTCTTAGGAAGGTTCGCTTCTCCTGTTTTGACCATTCTATACATTCTAGACACAGTTCAACCTGGATTTGACAAATTTACAATAATTAGTATAAAGTGATGTTGTTTTATTTTCTGTTTGATCATTTATCGGTAATTCATTTTTACTATTAAGAAACCCCAAAAAATCTTGTATATCGTAACATAAATAATATGAGKGATAACCCATCGGCATGTCATATGGCTTTAATGACAGGGCTTAAAATAAAAGCTGGTCAGTCACTGGTCATGATGATTGGCAAAACTAGTTTTAGCTCAGCCATACCTCAATTCTGGCTCAATGTTACTGGTCAAAATGGCTTGCAAGTCAAAGATTTTACTGGACAAGTTCTAATTTTGGCAGACATTGTCAACCATTGACAGGCASTTATTTTAACCCTGAGCGTGACTTCAAAATAATTATGCATTGGTTGGGGTGTTCAGCATTTTTCAAGGGGGAGGGGGTAATGTACAGTAATTTTGGAAAACTTGACAAAAGAGTTATCAAAATGTGGCTAACTAGATAAGAACCAGTGGGTAGGTTAAGAAAGTTTTGCCTTTCAATGGTCTTATGAATGAGAAACCTTGTAAATTGGGAATGTCATTTAGCTTACAGTTTGGCAATTGAAGCAGGGACAGCAGACCACTCTTTAGAGTGTGGGTGTGTGTGACGGGGAAGGAGGGAGGGGAGTTGCTAAGGAGCACTTTTTTTAAGTGGGGGCTAACCTCTCTTTTGTTGCATAATAGAACTCAAACTATGAGAAATTACAGCACTTAAAATAACTGACAGATGTCCCAAGTCATGATGACTGGCCAAATTAGTTTTAGCTCAGTCATACCTCGTTTCTGGCTTACAGTAGGGTTACTGGCCACCAGCAAGGAAAAAAGTTCGAATTCTGGGCAGACATGTCTGGCATTATTTCAAGCCATGAAATTAAGGTGTCACTCTTGTAAAGAGTGAGGGGAGGGGGGTTTAAAACCCTGCAGGCTCTGCTGTCCTTTCTGAAGTGTGAGAATATAAATGTGAGGGGGAGGGGTGGCATTCACTGCGTATCGGCATATCCGTGTATCCACTTTAACATATGCCTCGTTCTTTAAAAGTTAATATTCCGTATACGCTTTCATATCTACAGGGGGAGGGGTGGACTTCTTCACTGCCTATCCGTATGGTGAGAAGTGCAGAGAATCACAGTTATTAAATATTTATAATTATTCAAAGCACTGAAGCAGATATGAAGCAAAGTACAGACCTCCATTCCAGTAGAAGCCTCCATGTCAAGAAAACAATCCACCAAGGTACGGACAAGTTTAGCAGCTTTTGCTTTGGAAAACGACTGAAGAAATGGTCTAATGAACTTAATAAGTCCACCGAGGTCTGTAAACCGAAAATAAAATGACAATAGTAAAAATAGTAGAAAATGTGAAAATAAAAAATCAAGTTGAACCATACTCGAGTAAGCTTTCACCATAAAAAAGAGACAAACCTTCCGCTTCGGATGTCTTGGAATGCAACGAAGCAAGAATTAGGATAGCTTGTTCCTTTATTTTCACAAGCTCATCATCTTCCATGGGAATATTTAACTTCACTTGAATGATAAAAAATACAAAAAGCTGGTGAAAATTTCCCACACTGACATAAACACATCACATGGAATGCTTTCAATTAAGAAGCTTCAATATTCGCTCAGTTTACCATCAAATACCACACCCAAAAAATACAACCACAATTAGCAAAATACAATTAGCACGTTATATATATGTTTACCTATAAAATAAAGTGATTTCTTAGCCTGTTTGGGATCAGTACTCTCCATTTCTTTAGCTTTTTCTAGGTCATTCGCCAACTTGAAATAAAAAAGTTAATCGTAACCAGGAACCCTTGTGGGCAGAAACGCTAAGTCATGCCTAGGTCCCAGTTCACCACTGTATAAAAGTACGTACAATAGAAGGTGGTAAAAAAATTTTTTAACCAATAAAGACAAATGTAAAAGATTTCAACTTATCTATGAGCGTCATCATAAAATTCAATAATAAAAAAGAGCGAAGGAATAAACGATATGAATGCAAAATGAATACATTTTCAGCACTAGAACTGGTTTTCAAATACAAAATGAAAAATATATACTTACATAATATGAAACGACCAAAACATGGTATATAAAACACTGCCAGAGAGTACCCCAAACCCCTAATTTGAAGTTTACCCAGGGTGAGCCGTCTGACCTGCATTAGTGTGTCGGTGTTCAAAGGGAGGGGTGGCGTAAGTATGATTCAGTAACAATGGGTTTTCGTTTTTATGATTCCCAATTGTTTATCGTTTATTTAATTCAAGATTCTTCTTGAATCCCACTCCGTTTTAATTTTCTTTCACATGCAGTGGAACTGAATAAACTGCCAAGAACGAGCCCCAAGAGTTATTGGATTCCTTCAGTTTAGGTCCTCTGTAGGGCACTGGTTAACGATACGACTTGCCACATGACAATTTGATTCAAGAACAAAAGATTTTCGTTTTAATGTGTCATGATAGCAAAGTTGAGTTTTGGCGACTCATCTCTTGTCACTTTGTCTGTTATTCTTCGCGTCATCTCTATCAACTATGTTTTGATGAGCTGAGTAGAACAGAGTATGATTGTCCAATCAGAAACCTGCAATTCCTTTTCTCATCTTTCTCTTTTTTACTTTAAACACCTTGTTCTGAAAGTGCCGTATGAGAATTCGTTCGGCTTCACCAAGGCTTTACACTAGCTAGATCCCTCTTGGAAGCGAGGCTTACAGAAAAAGACGAACGAAATCACACTTTTCTCGATGGGAATCGTGCCATATTTCTTTTGCATTTTCCTGTTCGTATTTTTGAGGTGTTATCTATATCAATACTATACTAGTGTACTGGAGTGTCTGTGTTAGACTGTGAAGTCACTAAACCCTTGCAATAGATCAGTAAGACTAATACACATTCAGGGCTGTCAACCCCCGAGATATTCAAATCTGGAGAATTGATAGGGAAGGGACATGACGTCACAGCTCGTCAAAAAGCGCGCGAAAAGACACCTTTCTCTTTGTAACATTTGATGTGATTGGTTTATTTCTGACCAATCAGATTTTCGCTTACATTACAATGGCCTGCTTGCAAGAACAGTTTATGAGGAACGTTTTGATTTTGTTAACGATGTAAAACAACGCAAAGAACATAAAATAATTGGAATTTTATGGTTGTGAAAGTCGAGTCTCACAAGAAATGGTCAGCTTCAGGGATTATCCGGGAGATTTGAGACTCTAATCTGGAGACCGGGAGATACAGTCCAAAATCTGGAGACTCCCGGCTTATCCGGGAGAGTTGACAGCCCTGCACATTAATAGACCATAATTCCATAGTTTTCTTTTGCGTACTTGACTAGTTGACTAGTAATTTAATGCCTGACAATTATTTCTTATTTCAAGGGTTTTAAAGATGCCTTCACTTTATAAGAKAACACTATTAGAGTGAAGTCATTAAACCCGTGCAATAGTTATTAGACTAACACACTATAATTTAGTAAACCTTAATTCCTTTGTTTTCTTTTGTGTCCATTTGACTACACGTTGACTAATATTTTTCATTTTACGGGTTAATTGCCTTCACTATTATACTTACTGATAAACGACAAATTGGACAGAACTTTCTCCATACCAAAGGTAAACCCGCCGAACTAGCTGAATCTCCAACCCGAGTAACATACGCCATTTTGAAATTGATAAGCGCATGCGTAAAAGGGAGTTTCACGACAAAAACGCGCCTGCAATATAATCCGCTGACTGTACAGAATTTCTAGTAATGTTTTACGACTACTGCAAATACTAGCCTATTAAGAGGCAGTCTCTGTAAAAGCGGCCCACTGCATTTCGGGTCAGAAAATAGTTTTCCCTCAAACTTTTACCATAGTAAGGTAATTACTAGTAAGTAATGAAAATGACTTTATTTTATCGAAATTCATCAAAAGGATTTTTTTACATCGCATAAATCCTAGACCACCGTTATCGCTAAATTTGCATTTATTATCAATTGAAAATTGCTCATTTTCAAGTCGTCACTGCTCGCAAAATATTAAACGCTTGAACAAACTAGTATTTTTCCTGACTTTTACATTCATCCTAGTGTCAAAAATAAGCAAAATTTTGAATATTAAGCAAAAGGGAAAAAAGGAGAAAAAAAAAAAGAATTCATACCCATTTGACGGCTTTTTGAAATCAAGACAAACCACCCCTCACTAAAAAGCTTTTTTCTCCCAAGTCCAGAACGG